CAAGCTAGTGGTGTTGGAGATGTTGGCAGAAGATGATACGTCGGATTCCTTCTCTACGTTCTTCAGTTTCAGTTTCAGATCTAATAACAGTAACACCTACGAAGCTGAAGAAGGCTACTGTCGGAGATCCAAAGACTGGCGTCGAGTTCGACATTAAAGAGAGCCAAGATAAGGATTAACCAGATGAAAATTATAATGGACTTGAAACCAAATGAGACAAGCCCAGCATTAAAATTCCCTTAATAAAACCTACGAGTGTTGTTTTCAATTTATACTTTCTCCTTTTCTTTTCTGATCGCATAGAGCAGTTTAGAGTTTACAAACTGAGAAAGTCGAACTAATTCAAGACAACTTGCATTTAAAGACTAAGCTTAAAACCAAGCGAATGTTGGCCCAAAATACCTTTAGCCCGTTTAAGTAGATGTAAGCGGGAAAGTCACGGGCATAACACCTTTGGGTGCCCGAGCCCTTTAATCCGGTTAGGGATGGCTACATGCACATGCATACATCATAAATAATTGAGTTATCCTTCGATGTTTTTACCCCGCTTGCTGGCTGTTTTTTTTTCTGAGTTATTTTTTGGTTCGACAACATGACAAATTTATCCTAAAGTTAATTCCCTCACTCAGAACAGAAGCCCCTGCGCCTGTGGCTGCTGACCCCTTTGCCCTGTCTCATGAACTTTGGCCTGTGAGTATGTTTGAGGGCACAAAAATAGGGCTAACAAAATGGTTAAAAAGGTTATGATTTTTTTTTAAAGCATTTAAGATATTAAGTCATGCATTTTGGTTTATTTTGATTACTTTAAAATTGGTTTTAGGAGTTGAAAAAAATAATTTAAAAATATTTTAAGAAAGGATTTTTAGATTCTGAGAAAAATTACAAACTTATAACCATAAAAATCAGTTTGGCTAAAATTATTTTAGCAAGCATTATTAAAAACTATGTTTTTTTTTAGTAAAATATAAATAATGTGAAAGAATATTTATAAAAACTACAAATTTAAAGTATATTTTTCCACCTTAAAATATTTAAAAAATATTTTATGGAAGTTTAAATACCAAGAAGTTAAAGGAACTCCCCAATTAGAGGGAGATTTACCATAATATCTCTCTAAAACCAGTAAAACTCCATTATCCCATAAAATATATAAATATATTTTACATTTTCTAGCCCTTACATGACTGTCCTTAGCTGTAATTTTGTGTGTGCCAGTTGGGCTGTTGGGTTGTTGTTCATTTTGTTGGCCATGTCCTCGGTTGGGCGCAATTCGTATACATATTGATGAATATGTATAAATAAATTTCTATTGATTTTTCATTATTTATATTTAATAATAAATAAAGCTGCCCTCTCCCACTCTTCCCTCTGCCCCTCCTCTGGCTGCTGTTTCTTTTTTCCGAAAGTGTTGACACACCTAAGTTTGAAATTGAGTCGTTGGAGCACATTGATTGAGTTGCCTTTATATATATTCCTCTTTTTTTTGGGGGATACACACGGCTTACACAAAATTTCCGCTTTGTTGCGCAGCTGAACAACATTTTAAATTCCCCCCCCCCCCACAGGATTTTCTAAGCGTTGCCAGCATTTTTCTTCTTTTTTTTGTCCAGCAGTGTGTTTGCGCTAAAAATAATTAAATTCAATTGCAATTCAGTTATCGTGCGGCAGCCACAAGCAACAACAACAACAACAACAAAAAATCTACAAAAAAAAAGAAGTAAAAATTGTGATAGAAAATTCAAAATGTCTGCCCCCTCTTCGTTTTTTTTCTTCTGTGGCGTAAAGAAAAAATATTGAAAACTTATTTATAGCCAAATACGCTACGCTGCACCTGTATACTCGTATGTCAGTGTGTATGTGTGTGTGTGTATGTTTGTGTGCTGTCAACACATCTCAGGGTGTGTGTGTGTGTGTGTATGTACACAACAGATGTTTGCTGGTGTTGGCGAGTGTGCGCCTGTGTGTGTGTGTGCATAGTCGGGTGTAAAAATGATTGAGTGTTTGAACTCAACTTTTGTGTCGTCGCCAACGTAGTCATCAGTGTCGGCTGAAAGCTGGAGTGGGAGGAGGCAAAACCACCTACCAATCACCACACAATCAACCGTCTCGAGTCCACTGTAATAAAGATGCCTTTCAGGTGATCTTAGGCAGAGGATTAAAGTGGAGTTTCTCGGGAAGTGCAGTTTGGGGTAACCGCTTTTTGGGGGAGTTTTAAAAAATGATGCCAAAATTAGACATAAAATGTAGTTTAAATTTGTACAAAATGAAATCACAAACTGATGGGGTTAACTCACTTACAATACGGTTATAAATGGCTTATCAGTTTTCTTTATAACTGTAGTTTGAGGTCACCTTTTTGAAACTTTTTAAAAAAATCACAGCTTAAAAAGGTTTCATGTATTATTACTAAAGAAATGTATCCTACTAAAGAAAGGTATCTGTTTTACACAATTTTAAAATATTCATTTTGCTAGTTAACATTACCAAAGCGCCACCTATTGTCGGAGGAAGTATGTATAAACCATGTGAGGCCTTATAACCTAAATTTCTTCATAAATAGCGAAATAATGATCCGATTTGAAAAATCTTTGGTAAATCAATAGATATTAACAGAAATAAGTTATTCAAGGTCAAACGAAGGTATTCATAATAATATTTTAGACGCCACAGTTTGTGGGCGTTAGAGTGGGCATGGACGGATGAAAACTCGTAAAATACGTATTCTTAAGCCTAACTTTCTAGCTCCGAGATTTCAACGATTTTAGTTTTTCGCAATTTGTGGGCGTTAGAGTGGGCGTGGCAGGATGTTGAAATAAACTTGCGCTGTCCCGGCACCTCAAGAATCTTCATGATTAATTTCAACTTTGTTTGTCTTATATTTCGTGAGATCTCAGCGTTCATTCGGACAGACGGGCATATGGACAGACGGACAGACAGACGGACATGGCTCATTCGTCTTCGCTATTCATCCTGATCAAGAATATATATACTTCATAGGGTCGGAAACACTTCCTTCTACCTGTTACATACTTCTCAACGAATCTAGTATACCCTTTTACTCTACGAGTAACGGGTATAAAAACAACATGTAGTACTTACATACTGTTAAGGGTTTTGGATTTTATATTCGCGAATTTATGATTCGAATTTTTGGTTCTATTAATGTAGTTTGGGGGTCACCTTTTCTGGCAGTTTATCGCAAGCACAGCTAACCGAAAAGTTTTCATATTCTATCACTAAAGACATGTAATGCATATTACTTGAAAATCATTGTTACTCGAAACCAATCAAACTAGCTATAAGATCACAAACGTAAAATTACTTTTTACTGCTAAAGGCAGTGGATTTTACATTCGCGAATATATGATTCGATTTTTTGGTTCTATTAATGTAGTTTGGGGTCACCTTTTCTGGCACAGCTAACCAAAAAGTTTTCTTATTTTATCACTTAGTCATGCAGATTACTCGAAAATCAACATACTCCTACATACTGCTAAAGGAATTGGATTTTACATTCGCGAACTTATGATTCGATTTTTTGGTTCTATTAAAGCAGTTTTAGGCCACCTTTTCGGCAATTTATCAACAACACAGTCAAAAAGTTTTCATATTTTGTAACTAAAGAAATGTGATGCAGATTACTCAAAAATCAACATACTCCTACATACTCCTTAAGGCTTTGGATTTTACATTTGAAATCTTATAACTCTATCAATGTAGTTTTGGTACCTTTTCTAGCAATTTATCAAAAACATAGAAAATCAAAACTTGAACACTTTTTATCATTACAAAAAATTATATAAAAATTATTTAAAAAAGTCATTACAAAAAGTCATTTTACATTTGTGAGATTATTGCTAGTTTTATTGGTTTTATCATTATAGTATGGGGTCATCTTTTCTTGCATGTTATCAAAGAAATATAAATTCAAACTTATGTACTTTTTATCATAAAAAATAATGTAATAAATACTACAAAAAATTCAATTACAAACTTTTATTTTAATATCATGATCTAGTTTTTGATTTATTGGTTAAACTTGCGTAATATTGCTAAAGGAATATGGAAGGAATGCTTATTCTTAAAAGAATAAGGAAACCAAAGTCAAGATATCAAGGGTTTTATCTTTAAGGAAATCTAATAAACATTCTTAAAAACTCAATCACAAACTGCTAAAGGCATACCTTTCCAAAATTGAGATATTTGTTGGCTCCATAAATTTGTTCTGGGGTCACCTTTTTCCAACCTATCAAAAACAAAGCCAAACAGGAAACATGTTCTATCTCTAAAAAAAAAAGTAATTAATAAAGAATTAAATTAAAAACTGCTAGGGGTATGTTACTTTATAATCTATAATTGTACTTTCAGGTCACCTTTTGATCAACTCATAGGTATCGCCTATCACTTATGATAAGAAACATGTTTAAGTTGAAAACCCAATTACTATATATTTATAGCTCACTATTCACTATGATTTGTTTGTTTTCATTCGTTGTTATCTCTCTAAGCAGCCTTTAAAGCGTATTTAGTCTGCGATTCCCACTCACTTTCCCTATACATATATTTTATCGCCTTTGTTGTTATCACCGTTGGTGTTCTCGATTTGTTCGGCTTTACTTTCCGCGCCAATGGAAACTCCGTCCACACGGCGACAAATTCTAGTAAATATCAATTTTTCACAATCTCATTAAATGCAATTTTGGTCTGTGATTTTATTTTTGGAAAGTGCTAGCTCACGTTTTAAGGACAGTTCTTGAGGCATGTGAAGACCATTCATGGGCACAATCTGATCTGAAGCGAAAGATCTTGAATTATTTTTTATAAATAAATATCATGGCTTTTTTATTTTGGGAATTTAATCAGGAAAAGTGGTAACAAACTAGCACTTTTTACGTCACTTCCTGCTGATCTTTATATCGCATTAAGAAGAATATATTTTTGAGTTTTTTTTAGCCACTAATTTGCCACATTTAAAAAAAAAACACACACACACAAATTTCTTTTGCTTTTTATCGGATCTCATTATTGTTTGTAGAAAGTCACAGTTTGGGAAATGTATTTTCAACGGCCCCAGATTTCGACGACATCCTTGATGCCATAGCCTCTTTCAGAAGTGAACTTAATAGTGGCTCCCTTGGAGCCAGGACCTCCGCTTGAAAGGACAGCCGTTGCGCCATGGCTCTTCTTCTTGTCGGTGATCTTAATGGCCGTAATAGTTAGAGCATTCAGATTGTCCTAATTAATAATAAATATTATAAAATAAATATTAAATGGTATATAGTAAATAGTAAAGATAGTAAATACCACTTACCGACTGCTTGAAAACGTATTTCTTGGTCTGTACAAGGCCAACGAAGAATGCCTTCGAAACGGTATCCTTGGCCAGCTTGTAGTCATTGTCCCCAATGGTGCCCCAAAGGTAGTCATTGGTGGCGAATGTTGGCAAGACGAATGCCGCAAGTGCGAATAAAATAATCGTGGTAAATTTCATTTTTGATTGCTATTTCGTTCGCAATGCGTTGGCACTTGAAACTGATTTGGAAAACAATTCGTGCCCACTTTTTATGGCAAATGCCTGGGTATCTCCAAGTACTTACTTAATTAAAAAAATGATATTACGTTGGACAACTTAATCAGTTAAGTTTCTCTATCGCTGTCTGTTCCGGTTTTCGCTTAAAAATGATTTACTTTGTCTAACTGTTCTGGTTTTTGGAATCAAAGTCTTGGTAACTAAGAGTTTATATGAGTTTTAAATGTTAAATTCAGGTCTTTGATTGATATTAGCTTTGAAAATGTGTTTTTTTATAGGAAATATTCAATATTTATGTGGTTTTTTTTGGGATTGTTTTTTGATATATATATACTCTGTTAAATAAGCGTAAAATTTATAAGTTTTAGTTTTGGTTTTTAGATAAAAATGTCTTAAATTTAAGTAAACTTTTATAATGATTTTAGTATTTTTAGTTCATTAGTTAGTTAGTTTACGAATGAACTTAATATTAATATAAATATTTGTCTTCATTAAAATTTAGATATTATTTTACTACTACAGGGTGACTCATGTAGCGTTTTCTTTCTTAACTATCGATCATTTTGACTTTAACATATCGAATGCCATTGTCAATCTGTCAGATACTTAGTAGAAGGTTTGCGGTTTAAGAAAATTGTTAAATATTGATATTTTTATAGCGACTTTAAGACGCAAATCTTCCGTGGGCCAGCCTATATTAACCTTTACTATTAATCTCTTCAATTTTTAACTTTCTACATCAACTAAAATATGCTAGTTTTCCCCCAAACCCTTAACCTTTTCTCCCAGTGCATTCTGGCTACGGTTTTAAATTGTATTTAAGGTGGCTTCGACTCCAGCGGCTTTATCTACTTTGGCTGCCACTTCTCCTTTATCTGCTGCCGCTTTTGTTGTTGTTACACAGGAAAATTACCAGCGACAAGCTTCGAACTTGGGCCAGGGAGAGGGGAGAGGGTGGGATGGCGAAGAGTATAAGGAGAGGGGGGGGTGGGGGTGGGAAAGTCTACGGGGGCAGTGTCAACAGTTTTCCCTCCGGCTGAGTGAACTGCCTTCGGGCATGTTTGTTTGTATGCACTTCAATAAAAATTTAGCATACGCTTCACTTCACTTCACTTGCCACACGCACAGACGCCACACACACACATACAGACAGGTATACATTGGAGGTCAGAAAAATAGTACTTAAAAATTTAAAAATTTAAAAATTTATAAATTTATTTAATATTTCGATTTCTTTTACTTAACCTTTGTTAAAAAAAAAAATTTTGTAATAAAAAAAAATATAAAAACAAAATATTATTTATACTAAAAAAAACTGTTTATAAAGTTAAAAAATGATTAAAAATGAATTTATAATCCTTCAAATAATTCTTTACCACTGCTATTATTTTGACCACAACTGTAAACACAAATACACACCTGTAACGCCCCCTGGCGACTGATACATGAAAACATTGCTTTGTATCATTTCCCCTTGGCGAAGCATTTTTCGATTATATGTTGCCTTTGCTTTTTGGCTCGTTTTTCAATCTAAATGTCAGCACATGTGCGTGTGTGCGTGTGTGTGTGTGTGTGTGTTAAAATGGCTGCCAGCTGTGCGTGCGTGCGTGCGTGTGGGTGAGTGCACAAGTGTGTGTTTGTGAGTGCGCGTGTCGTGGCAAATTACTCGAGTGAAGTGCGCACTTCAAGAATGAAATAGCCAGAGCAACCGACACGGCCTTCTTCCTCCCTTCCCCAAAAAACAAAACAAAACAAAACAAAACTTCATCCTGGCCAGCCTCCTTTATCCGGCCACGCCCATCAACAGGCAGGCCCAACGCCCCACCTTCACATTTGGAAAACTTGGTGAAAAGCGCGTGCATGTGTGTACGAAAGCGAATTTCCTTTCTAATTTGCTTAACGCAACTTGCTCAAGTCTCGTTACGTTATTGTTCATTCATTCAGCACCAGCCGACTGCAACTGCTTGCTCAACCTCTTGAGGAAATACAAAAAAAAAAACCAGCAAGATTTCTAAAACAAAAACACACACTTATGTGCTGGGAAATTCCCATTAAATGGAAATCAAAAGAGGAAATTGAGATAGACTGTCTAAGCAGGTGGAGAAGTTAAGTAGGAAGAGCCCAGATTTTCTTTTGATCTTTTAGGATTGTTAAGAATAATCAATAAAAATAAAGAAATTTCTTAAAAAATATTTTATTTTCTAATATAAATATTGCATATTTTAAAATCATTACCCAAGTCTTAGAACTAAAATATACAAGCATTAAAAAATAAAGAAAAGTTTTACAAATTTAAGTAAAGAATTTTAAACCTTAAAATGTAAGCTAAAAAGAAACCAATCTGAGAAAATCTAGTTCCTGCTTCTTATAAAATCCAAATCAGATACAAAGAGGCTTTCCTATTTATGTTCTTATTATTTGTTTTAATTTTATTATTTGAAAAATATTTAATAAATCAGTTGGCTGTAACTTTTCCTTCAATCAACAAGTCAGCTTAATAAATGAAAAGTCAAAAAAATCAAAAACTAACTCTAACCATTTCTTCAGGATTTTACCTTTTTGTAAGTTTTTAAAATATTTTTATTTGCCTTTCTGGGACAAACTAAACCCCTTTGACAAGAACTAGTTCTTACAACTTAAACACCCTTCCCATACCTTAATTTATTGTCATAAAAACAGCAACAGTGCTTAGTAACCCCTAGATACCCCTTAACATTCGGCTCTTAACGCATGCATATAAAAATGCGAAATGGAAACTTTGAAGTTGAAAATTAAGGAAGCATAACAACAGCAACAACAATTCATATATAAACGTAAACGAAAAAGGGGGAAAAGAAGGAAAAACAATTTAAGGACAAACTTCAGCTTAAATTATTATTTGCAGCTGTTACTTTTGTTTCCTAAATGTTAAATTATTCTTTAAGTTGTTTCTTTTTACTTTCTTTAAAAATCTTATCCAACTTGCTAATTTTAAGCTTAAGCTTAAAGTTTTTCATTATTTAAAAACTACTCAGCTTTGTTTTATTTATTTTAAGGAAACTTTCCTTGCTCTTTCATAGAGTCTTACTTCTCTTAGTCTTAAGTTCTCAAGCTATCCAACCTGTATAGTTTGATATTTGTCTACCTATTAGCTAATTGTCGAATGAACCCACTTAGTCCACACATTTAATATGCATTTTCAACCATTTTGGGCGACATCAAAGGCAACGAACTCGAAGGCCAAAGCTTATCCTGGCTGCCTTTCCTTTTCCACCTTCATCTTTCGCTCACTTCCTGCCGCTTAGAAAGAGGAAGTCGAGGGTCCTCATCCCCATTTACATGCCCCGTAATGCGATACACTTCCAATTGATGGACAATGTTTTATGCATGGATATTTTTCATTTTATTTCAGAGAACTGCGTAATTTATGCGCCAACGTTTTATTAATCATTTTCCAGGAAAATCTTTGGTTAAAAATAGCTGTTTCAATTAATTAGTCTCAAGGCGAAAGGGGAGAGGTTTTCTTTTTGAATTTTTATGATATAAAAAATACTTGCCCTAAAATTTATATAAAATTTTAATAAATAATTTCCCATTTAACTCTGTTCTTTGTTTTTATTTCAGGTAAAAATCTTACAAAAAGCTGTTTGGAAGGAAATATCTTTACATTTTAAAGGATTTTGTAAGCCAAAATATTTATTTACCATAAAAGTTTTGAGTTTTAAAGCGGTTTCTGGTTAAAAATAAAAATCCAACAAGGCTTTCCCCTTCTTTTTCTTTTACCACAAATTAACAGAAAACTTCAACAAACAGCAATTTATTTATTTGAATAGCTTGAATAATTTCTGTATTATTAAATGAAACATATTTAATTCACACTTATTTCCCATTGTTTGGGAATATATATATATATCTTTCCCAACGTTTGATTAAACATAATGAACGATGGAACGCTGGGAGAAGAGCTTTTTAAATTAATTAGTCCAATGGCTAAGGGTCACATTCTGCATATATATTGCTCATACATTCCATATAATATATCACACAGAAATGGCGTTTAATTAAGTTTTTAAGCCTCTGGTTTGGACTAACGTTGCGGTGAAATAAATTGTAATAAATTCAGCTGGCTGATTGTTTGGGCAGGTAAAATTTAATCAATAAATAAAATGTAAATTTCTCCACGATTCGCCAAGTAATTTCCCTTCTTGGCCTTTGCTTTCTTTTTGTATTTTTTCTTATTTTTTGATTGCTAGGCCTAGCGGCTGTTGACCTCCGCGTCCCCCCTCCCCCCCCGTTTCTTTGGCGGGGTCAACCGCAGCAGAAGGGAATAACAAAAAAGAAAGCAAACTGGGAAAAGGAAAATGGTAGAAAAGGCCGGGAATTCAAGTCACGACATTCGCACCTGGGGCGAATGGCGTTTAAAATTCAGCAAAAGGTCAACAAATGCCCAGGTAACTGACTCGGTCAGCTACGCAATAACGCAAAATATACATAACCATATCCCTATATAGATATCTTCAAATAATTACGTACAGTGCGCGCCATGAAAGAGGTGTTTATATGCAAAAGATGAATATCCTTGAAAATCATTATGAAGCCCAAAATAGTATGCTATGAAAAAAGATTGATGAACTTTTGGTTTTGTTAAATACCATTGCCTACTTTTCGGCAGCTTTGTTAATGTGGTTCTTAAACTGTTTAGTCTATCTTTAGAATGGGTTTTTCTTTAAAATTCCTTTAACTAGTGCTCTAAAAATCTCTTAAAAACAAATCTATCTGCTTTTTAAACCTTAAAACATATTATTGAATATAATATTTTGATATTATAGCCATGAAACGCACTGTTTTCGTACAGTTTCTGTATATTTGGTTGCAGAGCGACCAGTCAAAAAGTCTCGCTTCAATTACTTTGAGTTGAGCAAACCTTTTTCTGGCTTATTTTTTGTTACTTTCTTTTGCTTTCTCTATTGTCCCACTTTCTCTGCTTGCTACGACGTCCTTTTCTACCATATTTTTCAGTTACCCTTGTT